GAGAGAATGAGATAGAGAGCATGAGAGGGGGGAGGGTCAGAGGGAGAAGCAGACTCCCCGCCGAGCAGGGAGCCCAATGTGGGACTCGATCCTGGAACTCCAGGATCATGACCTGAGCCGAAGGCAGTCGCTCAACCAACTGAGCCACCCAGGCATCCCAATTTTAAGCCTACTGTTGAGACCTACTGCTCATTGGCAGTGCACCTGGTCATCCAAGAACTCTGATGGAGATGTACATGATTGATGGTTTTTTGTTTTTGAGAGAGAGAGAGAGCATGAGCATGTGTGAGCAGGGGTGGAGGGTGCAAAGAGAGAGAGAGAGAGAGAGAATCTTAAGCAGGCTCCATGCCCAGCACAGAGCTCAACGTGGGGCTTGATCTCACGACCCTGAGATCATAACCTGAGCTGAAACCAAGAGTCCGGACACTTAACTGACTAAGCCATCCAGGCACCTCTAATGATGTTGTTGTTGTTGTTTTAAAAGATCAATGTTTTCATGCTTGCTAACACAATATCCATTCTGCAGCCCATGGGTCAAGAGTAATTTTGACTTTCTTTTTTATTTTTTTTTTAAAGATTTTACTTATTTATTTGAGAGAGAGAATGAGAGACAGAGAGCATGAGAGGGAGGAGGGTCAGAGGGAGAAGCAGACTCCCTGCTGAGCAGGGAGCCCGACGTGGGACTCGATCCCGGGACTCCGGGACCACGACCCGAGCCGAAGGCAGTCGCTTAACCAACTGAGCCACCCAGGCGCCCTAATTTTGACTTTCAAGTGTCATTATTTAAGAAATACATTTCGTGAGGCTATAGCTGCCATAGACAGTAATTCTTCTGATGGATTTAGGCAAAGTAAGTCAAAAACCTAGAAAGGATTCACCATTCTAGATGCCATTAAGTACATTCACGATTCATGAGAAAAGGTCAAGATATCAACATGAACAGGAGTTTGGAAAGAAGATGATTCCAACCGTCATGGATGACTTTGAGGCATTCAGGACTTCAGTGGAGAAAATAACTGCAGATGTGGTGGAAACAGCAAGACAACAAGAACTAGAAGTGGAGTCTGAAGGTGTGGCTGAAATACTGCAATCTCAGGACAAAACTTAAATGGATGAGGAAGTGCTTCCTATGGATGAACAAAGAAAGTGGTTTCTTGAGATGGAATCTACTCCTGGTGAAGATTATTGAAATGACAAAAAATTTGGAAATACCGCATGGTTAGTTGATAAGACAGAGGCAGGGTTTGAGAGGACTGACTCTAATTTTGAAAGAAGTTCTGTGGGTAAAATGCTGGCAGATGGCATCACATGCTACAGAGAATGTTTGTGAAAGGAAGAGTCAGTCGATGTGGCAAACTTCACTGTTGTCTTATTTTAAGAAACTGCCTTGTATGTGAACTTCAATAATAAAAATTAAGAAATAACTACACTTACCATGGCGAACAAAGCATAATGTACAGCATTGTCGAATCACTATGTTGTACACCTGAAAGTAATATAAACATTGTATGTCAATTATACTTCAATAATAAAAAAAAATTGCCACAGCCACCCCAATCTTCAGCAACCACCTTGTTCAGTCACCAGCCATCAAGCCTGAGGCAAGACCCTTCACCAGCAAAAACACTATGAATTGCTAAAAACTCAGATGATGGTTAGCATTTTTTAGCAATAAAGTACATTTTAATTATGGTATGTACATTTTTTTTTTTAGACCATGCTGTTGCACATTTAAGACTATACTATGCTATAAACATAACTTGTTTTGGTAAACATGATTTTTATATGCACTAGGAAATAAATTCATTCGACTTACTTTATTGTGATATTTGCTTTATTGAGGTAGTCTGGAACCAACCCACAATATCTGCAAGGAATGTCTGTGTAAGGAAATTTTACGTAAAAATCCTGAGTTTCAGTTTCTTTTGAAAACCCAGGAGCTCTAGCAACACTGGGTTTGTCATACCACATGACACACATCAGCTGGGGCTAAGAAGAAACGACCTTCTTCAGACATAGCATGTGCTCTTCACCTCACCACAATCCCCACCACTCCTCACTGCCTCACACCTAGCTGTCTTCACTTATTCAGTTCATTTGGCTACCTCCCACAGGCACTGGATCTTGTAACTTCTGTTACAAAAGCTTAAACAGTACTACTTTTATCTTGCTTATATATAATGTTTGCTTATCACAAATACTTTAATAATACATCCAGCAAAGGAGAACTTGAGCCAAGAATCTGTGTGAATTACCAGAAATTTCATATCAGTCAAGTCCAAGATGAGGCATGACTTCAAATACCTTGCCTGCCTTCACATGGACATCCTATAACAGATTGGAAAGATTGGTATTGTGATCCAGTGTCCCTTCCCCATCTCTCCTTGAAGTATAGAGAACTCACTAGAATTTAGTACTACTAAAGGAATAAGAGCATAAAGGAGGATCTGGTAATTATTTGTTGAGACTATTTCAGGGCATCTGAAGAATAGTCTTAAAAAGAGACACATAATAGGGGGCACCTGGGTGCCTCGGTTAAGTGTCCGACTCTTGATTTCAGTTCTGGTCATAGGGTCCTGGGCTCAAGCTCCACATCAGGCTCCCTGCTCAGTGGGGAATCTGCTTGTCTCCCTCTTCTTCTGCCCCTCCCCCTGCTCGTTCTCTGTCTCTTTCTCTCAAATAAATAAATCTTTAAAAAAAAAAAAAAAAGACACAGAAGGCTGGTCAAATCCTGTGAACATAGTTACTTCTTAGTGAAAATAAAGAAATTGGGCTGATGGTCAGATGCTTAATAATGAAGCCACATTTCCTGAGCATCCCGGGTATGTGCCCAGCTTTGCAGATGGTGGACCACAGTGTTTCAGAGCTTTAACTCTGAAGTTAGAGGTAGGTTCCCATCTTGGCTATGCCCCTAGCTAGCTGAGTAACCAGGGGCAAGTGATCTAAGCCCTCTGAGCTTCAGTTTCTCCACCTATAAGATGGAAATAATAGTATCTGTCTCATAGGGTGAAGACTGAATAAGATATAATGCACTTAGCATAACACCTGACATGTAGGAAGTACTCAGTAATTATGACCCATTAGTTTTTAGTTTAATCCTCACAACAGCCCTGCTAGATAGGTAGTGATATTGCCATTTTACACAGGAAGAAAGGTGACATGTGAAGGCCACACAGCTGGTAATAAGAAAGCTGAATTCGGTATGACTTTAAAGCTCATGTTCTAGGGCGCCTGGGTGGCTCAGTTGGTTAAGCGACTGCCTTCGGCTCAGGTCATGGTCCTGGAGTCCTGGGACCGAGTCCCGCATCGGGCTCCCTGCTCAGCAGGGGGTCTGCTTCTCTCTCTGACCCTCCTCTCTCTCATGCTCTCTCTCTCAATAAATAAATAAAAATCTTAAAAAAAAAAAAAAAGCTCATGTTCTTTCCAGTACACTTTGCTTCCCTTTTTAATTGAATGCCTATTATTGGAGACCCCTCAAGACATTTTTCTGGTAGGATCCAATTTATCTAGATAAACTTGCATGTGCCCCAGGGAAGCTCCTGCAGTAATGGTCAACTAGACACTCTGCTTGTGTCTTTATTACACACAGAACCCCTGTCCTACCACACCTACCACAAATTTTCAGAATCAGAATCTCGGGGTGGTGTGAGGGCACATTATTTTAAAAACAATGCCCTGGATGACCTCTGTGGGGCAGTGCTCTCATTAGGAACACTATGTACTTGGACGTTTCTGCCCCCACCAACTCCCACCCCCCACCTCCCCAACTCCTGCTGTTAAATCTGTCCATTTTCTACCTTGGGTCTTTCTCCATTCATTTGGCTGTTTTCCTGCCAGGAGACTGGCATCTGCCCCCCTCCCCCCACAGTGAGTTGGCATTCACCAAACTATAGCCCTTGGCCCACAGCAAACTCCTGTATGCTTGTGGCAGAAGGAAGCAAGAGGTGGTACCTATCTTCTGGGTGAGGAAATGAAAGAGGCTCTGGGAAAGGAAAGAGGGAAGACTAAGTTACTATGCACTGAAGGCCTGGAGGGTGGGCGAGCTTCCAGAGAAGGCCACTTTGGTGGGGGTCCTATAATAGGGAGACCTGTCCTATGGGATCTGACTGAGCTCTGTCTGCCCTCTCTCTGTCCTAGGCTCTGGAAGAAGATCTGAACCAGAAGAAGCGAGAACAGGAGATGTTCTTCAAAATGAATGAGGAGACAGAATGCCTGAACCCTACCACCCCAAATAAGGCCACCAAGTTCTTCCCCTACAGCTCTGTGGATACTTCTTAACAGCCAGCTGGAGCTGTGGCTGGCAGGGTGGGGGGCTTCCAAGGCCCACCCATCCTCTGTGAACAAGTAACTCAGGACCCCCCTTCCCTCTTGCTTCCATGATAACTTGAATCCAGCCCGTTGCCTTGTGCTACCCCAGCTGTGCCCAACAGACCCATCCTAGTGTTCCTTAATTCTCGCTCACTTATGGAGGGCGAGGTTTTATTATGTGTGGCCTGATCCTAATGTATGTCCTGTTTGAGCCCCACATCTCTTCAAGTTGTCAGTGATCTGGGCTGCTAGTGGGGTCAGGGTCCAGGAGGAATGGTGTTCTGCAGCCTTGAGGCCCTCTTGTTTGCCAGAACACCGGTTTTGCTCTCTGTGGGCACAAAGTGCTGCCACTGGTTATGATGAGTTTGTCCATATTGTGATTCTTGCCAGCTTTTCAGCCATTCCTTCTAGTATCAGACAAAAACCATGACTCTTCACAGCCCTTTTGGTTCCTAGTGAAGCCCACCCTGCAGCCAGCTGCTCAGGGGGTGCCCTCATCCTTCCAATAACCCCCGATTTGCTTTTCTCTTGAGACAAGGCCGTATCTACAACAGTGGGATGGAGGAGAGCCTGAACTGTTCATTCTGCTGGTCTTGGGTGTTTCATGCCATCTCGTGCCCCCGCCTTACCTGCACACATCTGCATACACATACATAGGGCTTGGCCCCCTGGCATTACCCAGGCTTGCCTCTGCCCTAGGCCTCTTGTGCCAGGTGGGTTGAAACACGTTCACTGCGCGAGCCAGTGCCACTGAGCGTGTGCAGGTGAAGCCATGGTGGGAAGTGTGCTGGGTGCTGGCATAAATGGTACCAGCCGAGCTGCCAGTCTGCGATTCCCTGTGGCCCCCACAGGCTCCTGTGTCCAGGGGTCAATTCCGCACCACACAAGACTGTGCCTAGGCTGCTGCTGTCTCACACCTGGCCATCCTGTCTGCAGGTGATATGGGAAGGCTGCTTCCCTCTGCCTCTCCTAGCGGGAGTCCGGCCTTACACTGGAGACACCGGCTGGCGGTCACTGGGATTTCTGTTGAGGACCAAATGTAATGCTTCCTGCCCCCAGCAACACAGCGGATGCAAAGCTTCTGTGTCTCAGATGGAATCCTGGGCCTTGGGGTTACTCAGCTGGCCTCCGACAGATTCTGATTCCCACAGGCTGCAGGATGTAGATAACCTAGTAAAAGTCCTGCTCAAACAGGCATTCAGTTTATCTACGAAGAAAACTTTGTTCACTTTGATTTCTGACTTGAAACAAATATAAATGAATGGCTTCTATAGGAAGATACCTGCTCTAAAACAAAACTGAAGGTGATTTTGAGGAATCATATGGATGATATATTAAGTCTGGGTACCATTTTGCTGGTGATGGAGTGGCTAAGATCCAGGGAGGACTTTTGCCTTCACTCCTAAATGTTTAAGGTTTGATGCTTGGTCCTAAAGCAATTCTCTTGAAGTTTGTGTGGCACTGGTTAGAACTGGATCTTGCGGAGGGTGGGCAGCCACACAACAAGAAGGGACTTGGGGTTCCCAAGGCTTATGTATACAGTGAAGATGCTCTGGGGGCTGTGGGAAGGCAGGGGTCCTCTTAAGTTAGCGAACATTCAGCTTGTCTGCTTCAGTATTTGACCCAGATGGGACAGTTTTCTCGTCTCACGTGAGAGACAAGGGAAACCATCGTCCCCTTCTATTCCTTTTGGTGCACAGGTGCTGGGAAAATGTGAACTAGCAGCAGTGTAATTACAGAACATTGACGGAGTCCCACCAGACAAGGCCAGCACTGGCAAATGGTCAGGCAGGGCTGATATTGGCTTTGTTTACAATACTGCCTTTTGCAGCCTGGGGTGTGAGAGTATTTAAGGTGAAATGCCATGGTTCAGGTGAAAGTCTTTGATCATTCCCCTATTTGGCTTGACATTTACATGATTCCTTGAATCTTATTCAAGGAGTTGCTCCTTCCCTGTTCTTTGCTGCCCAAGGCCTGATAGCTCCCCCGTCCTTTCTGGATGGGGGCAGGTTGGGTCCTCCAGCCTCATGATGGAGCCAGCATGCATACCCATCAGTGAGAAGGCCCACACAGTATTCCTCATGCCCTGTGCTAATGTTTCCTCTGTAAGGGACAGATGGAACTGTTTCTCGTTTTCAGTCCATTTTTGGCAGAGTAAATATAACTAACTTATATTTT